ACAGGATTTCCCTAGTGCGGGTTGAGTGTGAATGTGTATGTTAATATATTATTTCAATACTTTTTTATAAAAATGTTTAAGTACACATAAAAATCTTATGGGTAGCCCATGATCAAATCTTTGCAACATCCAATGAGATCTTGTTGTTGTTTTAATGGCCTAGAAACCCGGAACTGAAAAAAAGGTAAATTGAAGATAATTACAATGTAATAAAATGTAAAATGCGATGTGTAAACATTTGTTTTAGGTCAAGCATTTCAACCGGAGTTCGCAGAACCCCTGACCAATTTAACCGTAGCCATTGGCCGTGATGCGACTTTTAGATGCCTCGTACAAAACCTTGGGGGATACAGAGTAAGCGAAAATAACTCAAACATTATTTATGTATTTGTATTTTAAACTAATACACATAATAATAAGTGAACGGTAGTCTAAAAGATAATTTCTGAATTGAGAGGTCATCTGCTCAAATTATGTATAATGGCGATATATACCTATGACTTTAATTTTGTTTTATAACATCGAGTGACGGGACGAACAAGTCGTGCGCCTGATGGCAAACTACACGCCTGTCCATAACAGTTACAGTGCCACTCAGAGCTTTAAATAGCAAGAGTCTGACGGCCTACCACTGCGCCCGTCACCCTGAGACATGAGTTGACAAGTCTTATGTGCCTGTAATTTCACCAGCACCCTTACCCTTCAAAACCGGAACGTAGTAATGCTGACATTACTGCTTGGCGGCAGAAACGGGTAAGGTAAGGTAAGGAGCTATACTGCTATTAATAATTTGTTTGGCAATGACTCTTGTTAACGGTGAATGCAAATGTTGTTTGACACAACTATTGGAAGACGTGTGGTGTAAACTTGCATTATGATATATTTATTCTTAACTGTCACACATTTGTACACTCACAACGCATTAACACAATATATTATAGATAATAATACATACGACACGTTTCCTTGTTTTTATTTTGCTGTTGATGTACCGCATCGTGCCCTCTCCAAAAGTGATAGCAGAAAACCAGTAATTTGCTTTTTGACAAAATTCGCACTGAGCTAGGACTTTATAACTTGCTGCAGTACACACAAATACTAACTAGGTATAAGATGTTTACTATGTTCATATATTTATTTAAAGTGTTTTTTTTAATATGGTTGTTCGTTTTCACGGTCAATTTTGATTTATGTCTTATGGTAACCATGAGTTTGGACTTGGACTCTATGGTTAATATAATATAATGTTTAAAGTAATCCCTCTTGTCTCTCCATTATCCACTTGATGTGTTGTACTACACGTGGGGTGGGTGCCTGAAGACCTATCATACAGGCTAGACCTAGTTTAGGCTCTCCCAAAAATGTAACTAATCCTAAGTACCTTAATTTTAATATACGTCCTGTAGCTTTGTGAGAGGAAAAATAAATAATATTGAATTTGTATTTATATTTGTTTGTTTTATTTTATTCATTTATAAGATTATGTGATTTCGATAAAGATTGAAGACTCTTTTTTTTTTCATTTTGTCATTCTCATTGTTTTTATAAGTACGGTCTCGGTGGCCCAATGCAACGGTTTGCTGTAAGCTCGCTGGATGAGGTTTCGGATTCGATTCCCGGTTGGATCAATTTAACAAATGAACTTTTTTGAATTAATTCTAGTGTATGTATTCTGGGTAGCGCTTTGGAGTAATTCGTTACTCCGATGGTACAGGGAATTCCCTAGTTTGAGACCAAGATTTTTTCGGGTGGTTAGCACATTATTACAAGATAAAAGAGCCATTGATTTAAGCTAACGATTTTCACAAATTATTTGATTTTTGAACCTAATCGTATAAAAACATATTCTACTTATCTCGGCATTAGGGACGTGTTGCAATGTCCATGGCCTCGAAGGGACTTTCATCATGATCCCTTCGAGACCGTGGACGTTGCAACATGTCCAAAACCTCGAGGTAACTAAATAAATTATGCTTTATACACGGTTAAGTTCCAAATTTAAAAGCAAATACGAAGACCCATACCGAACAGCAAAAACCTAAAAAAAATATTCACAGACAGTTTCTCTTACAGGTAGGATGGGTTAAAGCTGATACGAAGGCAATTCAAGCGATTCACGTACACGTAATAACCAATAACCACAGAGTGGGAGTATCGCACAACGGACAGACCGTTTGGAATTTACACATCAGAAACGTTCAAGAGGAGGACCGAGGCCAATACATGTGCCAGATCAATACTGATCCGATGAAAAGTCAGGTAGGTACTTAGTATATTAGAAATCTTGGCTCTGTAAATAAGGCAAAATCGCCCATTCAGTGTCGATTAACTTTAACTATAAAATTCTTGCGTATTTAAGTTTATGGATAAGTTTGAATCTAGGATATACAGGGTGATTTAACGTTATCGGTTGACCATTGGACCTGTAAAGGGCCAGAAACGTTGATTTCTTTGAAAAAACAAGTATACGCAATTTACGTACATACGTAAATATATACATATGATAACGCCTGTCTCCCACCGTAGGTAGGTAGGCAGAGACCTCCACTTGCTACGCTCCTTCGCCTCCTCCACTCCCATCAATCTCTTCATACATGTCCGCTTATCCTTGGTACTTTTAACCAAGTACCGGGTTTTTAAGAACTCCTCAGTCTGATTGAGATATGTACGCCGAGGTCTACCTCTCCCCATGCTTCTATCCACATTCGCTCTATAAATTAACTACATTACGCCATTAAATACGCGATTTAAATCTGGAAACATAGTTACATTTCCTAAGTGTAACGATCGCGAAAACCTAAGAACTCGATAAAACATACTAAATTTACCAAAAATAAACTTTTAAAATTTTCTTTTACTATCTAACACTTTTTGGATCTGTATAAGTTCAAACATGCAAGCATCCTTCGCGACGACACCACCCCCGTCCTGCACAGAGTTATTACCGTTTAGAGCAATCAATTTATTTTTGTATGAAAGTGTAATCAGTTGAATTATTAAAAGTCATGCAACAAAGGTTGTCGTTTATGATGTTCGTAATATATA